AACGAGATCGCACGTCGGGAACCGACGAACTAGAATTAGTTTGAACGAGGAGAGGCCGGAGGAATTAAGCGCTGCCCTGCCGTATAAAGAAAAGACCTCGTGTACGGCAGCGCCGACGAGACGATCAATTTAATACCGACGAAGAAGACCCATACTGTGGTAGGGAGTAATTAAACGAGACTGTCGAAGAATTCGTCTAATTGCGTTGAAATTGGGATGAAAACGGGGAAGAAAAGGAGGACACGAAAGTCGTTGCTCTCCGAAGAACATGGACGATCGCGGGCATGATTTCTCGAATTTCACTCGTGTTTCATCTTCGATTGATTGTTCTTATCGTTCATATTCGTACGTCACACGACAATTACTATCGTCGATCATTGTGATATCCTTTCTTCACGAAAACTGCCAGTTTTCTCTCCGAAAATACACCCTGATCAGAATGTGTTTAGTTGGGCCTTCTTTATCAGTCAATACACAAGGAGAGAGACGGCGAGAAGATGGGTCAGAATCGGATCTCACGGTGTACACGTTGTAGATTCGATATATGTAGCTTGTTCTTCGGGGACGAACCGATAACGCGGAGAAATTGACGTTACGATTAGTCTCGCGCGAGTGAGCGAGCGGACCGTGTAGTACCCGGAGAACTCTCGACGTCCTCATTGAAACGTAACGTATATATATATATATATCTCGTGCGATCTCGCGGATCTCGGATATCTCGGATATCTCGGATACCTTCTTCGGATACCGAGTTTCTTCGTCGATTACAACGTAACCATGCATTGCACGCACGAGCAATTTCGCAGTCGAGTGGCCAACTTCTTTCCTAGAGAGAAGAATTTAGTGCTACAAACACAAATCGAGCTCCCTCTCCGAAGTTAATTAACCGTGGTTTACGCTCGCGATTGCCTCCTCAAGACTTCGCGTTGTAATTAGCTGAATTAATGTTTCGCTGCCGATAATATTTCTGCCATTTCTGACATCTCCGCGCTGATCACGAGCGAAATCTGGCTCTCACTGACGCAAATATCCTCTAACCGATCGCCCATTGCCGATCGCTGTTTCCTCTGTTTTCCTTTCTTCTCTTCTTTCTTTTTCTTTTTCGTCCTTCTCATACTTTTCTGACCCGGATCGACCATGTTCTCTTGCGAAACCATGTTCCACCTTGCGGTAGGAGAAAGAAAAAAAAACGCGTAGTTGCTCCTTCAAGAATGAATTCTCTGATTTCTAGAACTCAACGACTGTCGTGGTTCCTCTCGATTAGTACCAGGTATTAATTCAGAGGAACGATCGGGGCGCGGAAATTTATTTTTTTACGGGGAAATTTGACAGAACCACGACGAGCGACGCCGAAGTTCGTTGCGCGAAGAAGTTGTTAGGAAACCTTAACCGAACTATGGTGGGGAGAAAGAGATCGTGTCGATCGAGCAGCAGGCGACATTATTCTTCTCCGCGTATTTTTTTTTTTTTTTTTTTTTTTCTCTCAGTGACGAACGAACGTTGGAAACGTTCGTGAATTATCGTTCATTCCAATAAACGCGACCAGCGCAGGTGTGTGTTTCGAACGAAAGATCGAAATGTTTCACAGGTGATCGGTTTCGGGAGGGGCTGACTCGTCGATGAGTATCCACACATTCATTTATCGCTTTAGTTAGATCTCAGAGGATATCGCGCAAAAGTATCGTTAAGGCTTTTACTAATACAAGATAACTTGTATGTATGAAAGCAGCACGTTTTCCATATTATCTAAGGTAATTTATCTTTTTCTATTTTTACGAGGATAATTGCCCTTTGGCTGTATCGCGGCCAGAACGGTCTAAGATCGACCCCGCGATCATTCGGTTTTTACGCCATGTTTTTCTTTTTTTTTTTTCTTTTTCTTTCCATGAAAAATTTACTTTTCAATTGTATTTGTTCTTCGTTTCATTTCTTTCCTTTTATTTCCCTTCACTTCTCTAAATAACGTTATTCGCTCACTTTGCGGTGACGCATGTTAATATTTTTTCGTCTGTCAATTTTACGTAGTGTTATTGTAGTTATATCGAAGCCATGTTAATTCGAGCATCGTTGATAATGATCGAACGGATCATTTCATTTTATTTCGTTCTTTTTTTTTTTAAGTTTTTCTTCTTTGTCGATTTGTTTTGTGTTTCACACGTTGATTTGTTACGTCCGTGTTTTGAGTAACTCTGTGTTACGATTTTACGTGCAGCATCACGGGACAGCTACCTGCCTCCGCGAACGATAATCGAACCGTTTACTAAATAAACCATAAAAGGGCGAGAAAATTGGGATAAAGAAAAAGAAAATGAAAAGGAAGCGTACGCACAACAAAGAGAGAGAAAGAGAGAGAACTTCCAGACGCAAGAGATTTTTACGCAAACAAAGACACATCACCGGACGAGTATCTCACTCTTAGTACATTAAATACGTAATTTGGTGTCAGGGTAGACTTTTTTCCATAGATATAGAAGCCGTTGTTGCTATTTACTTAACGTAGAATTCGTAACGATGACGAAGAACTAGCGAGGGATACTGTGGATGAAAAATGCCGAACTTTCAGGTTATAGAAATTATCGCCTAATTATTTTTTTCTCCTCCCCGTTAACGTCGATCCGTACAAAATATTCCTACGCCGTTTTCGACGATTCTCAATTCCGGATGTCGGTCGATTATTCAGTCTTCCGTAAGTTGGTGTTCACGGGGACGCAGATTGATTCTCGAGACTTTCGCACATTGAAGATTAATTCATACGAATTCGATGTTCCGGTTGAATGTTTTCTTCTTCTTCTTTTGTTCGTTGCAACGGTTGAATTTTCAGCGTTAAGTTTTTTAAACGAAATTGGAGGATTATTTATTATTAATTAAGATTTGTTTAAGAATGAGAAGCGAAGTTAAAGACGAATCGTTGAATCATTGCAAAAGGACGCATATACGTAACACGAATCAAGATTTGCTTTTTTGGCGGGGAATCTGTTTGTACGAATCGTCCAATGACTATTTACGATGTAAAATCATAGTGTACACAATACCATATTATATATTATCAAAAGTAACGAGTATGTTATATATGTATACATAAAAATATATATGTATATGAACAAATCGGGGGAAAGGAAATATGTTGTACCGTACTCTAGAGAGACAAACGAACAGACAAACAGAAAAGAAAGAAAGAAAAAAAGATTTTGATAGTAGTATCGTAACGAAAAGGAAATTTAGAATACGTATGACGTACGTAAACATACATACAAAGGCAGAAGATTAATAGAAAAAGAAGAAATGAAAAAAAAAAAACCTAAGCAAAAAAAAAAAAGATTAACATGCAGAAATAAGATAAGACTTTGTTAAATCGGAGGGAGGAAAGGGAAAATTTTTAGACCGACTAGAGCAGCTAACTATTAAATAGTGAAGAAAGAAAATAAATAGACGTCCGTAATCCAGGCGAAATCGCATCGTTTTTAGGAAAAAATCTAAGGAAAATAGCGAGAGAGAAAGAGAGAGAGAGAGAGAGAATGAATGAACCGTAAAAACGTATTCATATTAATACTGTACCGCTAATTACCCAAAATACTATTATACATAATTATCGCCGTACGTAAAGTAACGATTAAGCTGAGCATGCGAGTTATGCACGAGATGTACTCACGTAAACTATTACCATCCACCTTCCACTCCATTTCCCACCCCTTCTTGCTCCTTTCGCCACTTTCTACCATCCTCTCCAGATACCTCTGCGTACCGTAATTGTAACGATATTTTTAATCGTGTAACAAGAGCAGGATAGACGAGGAAACAAATATTACGTTTACGCGAACGGTGTAGAATAATAAAATAATAATACGTGCATAAAATGCGGTAGAATATGCGGTTCGATCGATAGGAATGGAACGTTATAGAGAGAAGGGAAACGGGATACTCGGAAAAACATATAGTTGCCGCTGGGTCTCAATTAATACTGACGCAGTTCGATGAACATAGCCGACGACGACGACGACGACGACGACGACAATCGACGTTGATCGTTAAAGAGAATCGACGAGACGTGCATTCGTTTACGCTAGAATCGAATTCGTGGAACGAAATAGCTTGCTCGGTGAATCGTTAATTTGTTTGTTGTATTTTTTGCTTCTCTGCGTGTTTTTTTATTCCTTGTTTTTTTTTTTTTTTTTTCATTGCTCTTTTTCTTTTTTTCCTTCAACGACGGCAAACCGTGAGATTGAACGAAACTTTCAACGAATTTTCTGGAGTACGATATTCATACGCGGCCTTGCTCGCGGTGGAATTAAAACGAAGATACTTATTTGATTTCACGTGACGTTTCACGGTCGAACGTGCTTTACTTCCTCAATAGTCTAGCGATTTTCGTTTCTGCTCGCGTTAACACGAACGTGTCAGGAACATGTCACGTGTTTCTTTCTTGCGCTTCCATGCGCGTGTTGTGTTTGTAGCTCCCAGCGACACAACTA